GAGGATATGATTGGTGATGAAACCAGTCAGTTGTTGTATCCTTGTGTTGTCTGCTGTAGGCAGTTTCAAACACCCTTCTGGTGAAATGGTTCTGTTGCTTTATGCTTGTCATAACAGGGTATCATCAATATCATGTCATACTAGAATACAAATGCCTGACACTGTATGGCCTAGTTGCTAGGATTATTTTTAAAGGAGTCTTGTGACAAATATTTCAACTTTCAATTTGTGTCATGATTTAGGTCAAAGTTGTCATCTTCTGATGACTCTTGTTATTCTCAAGTAGTTGTTTGCATTATTTCAACCAATCAAGACACGATTTGTCTCATGTTTTTGTGTGTAATTTTTCAATCTTTGTAATGTCTGAAGATTGGCAGGTAACTTTGAAGATGGGCAGGCAAAACTTATGGGTTGCCTGCCCTACTGTCTAACTGGGTGTTAAATGTCCCATACCAACGTCCCAGCAATGATTTCATGATATAACAAGTCTGATATTGTAAGTAGTGGTTATGACATGTTAACAAATGCTATTCTAACCCCAGATTAATGTTTATTCACATTTACTTTCATGTGTGAAGAGATGAAGTTAGGACATGGACAATTAGTCATGCTAAACATGATAAAGGTACTATAGCAATGGTTAGTAAGCCTGGAGTTTACTGTATCCCTAAGAGAGATTGACAATAATGTTTAAAATAATTTCCAGAATAAAGTATACACCTAGAAATTAATTAAGCACCCCCCTGGTTTTGTGACCATATCTGTCCAACATCAAGGTATTATTCACGTCAAGCCTGAGCTATGTGGGAGAATTGAATGTCTTGTGTTAGATGAGACTCTTATCTAATGAATACACAGAGAGTGATGCAAATGTTCAATATTTTAATTGTTTGTTCCAACTGATTTAAACTCAAAGTGTCAATAGCATGTCCTTGAAGAAAAGCAATCGCAGTAAGAGAACGATGGGGTCTAGCGTTGTCATCCATGAACACAGATCGGGTGGCAAGTGCACGGTCGTCTAAATATGGCACAACAACAGGATTGAGGATGTCCTCGAATCCTCATGAATCACCATTGTGATTGCCTCGTACTGTTACCATGTCCAGTTTACAGTCATGAGATATTGCTCCCCACACCAAGACGGAGCCTCCACCATACAGGACTGTTGGTACAATGTTTCCCTATGTTTCTGTGTCTCCAAACCCACGTTCGCCCATCTGTGACGTGCAACAAGAATCTGCTTTCATCAGACTAATGGATCTGTTGCCACATCCTCAGATTCCAGTGACGTCAACCCATTCACCAAGCCAATCGAAGTCTCTGATGATGAGCGACCGCCTCTGTGGTCTTGTGCTAGAGCGCCCGCCCGGAGAGTGGAAGGTCCGGGGTCTGATCCCTGACCACGCCATACCAAAAGATGTTAAATGATGATACTTGTTGTTGCCCTGTCTGGCGCTCGTCATTAGGGGCTAAAACAAGGACTGATCAGCTCGGAGTCAGTATACTGTGTCTGAGTGGGGTATTCATGTTAAACTGTGGCATGGTATCTCAGTCCGGACTAGTACAAGCCCCCCCCCAAATAATCTTGGACGTAATGTTCTTTCAGAGCTCTACCCGTTGCAAAGGGTCGTCGCCTCACAAGACGTGTGATTTCTTACGAGTCTGCTGATGATGATAAGGACATTGGTCATAGCCAAGTTGACATCCAATGGCTCTGTATGACAGACCTGTATATGTGTTGCCACTTTATACACCTTTTCTTGCATCAATATCAAAGTGCTTTTCCTGAAACCTAGAGGGCATGATGCTTTATCTATCTTTCCCCAAAATAGGATATATAGCATCACCTTGTGCGATTAAAGATGGTCATCCATTACATTTAAAAAAAGCCAAAACATAAACCAAAGATGGGCCAAAATGGTGTGTCTAAAATGTGCCAAAAGGTGAAATCAGAGGATGCATATCTCTCTCTCTCTCTCTCTCTCTCTCTCTCTCTCTCTCTCTCTCTCTCTCTCTCTCTCTCTCTCTCTCTCTCTATATATATATATATATATATCCACCTGCAAGAAACCTTTAAAGTAGTAAGAAATTAGTTTTCCTTAAAAAATCACTTGAAAAGTAGACAACAAAGAGCAAACCCTTGAGATCTGTTGCATTGTTGTTTTTTGCCCACTTTTCAACTGAAGTACACTGCCATTACAAGCCAAAGTATATCACGCTGATGGCTTTACAAGTGCATTTACAACAACCATTGATTACAGTGTTTAGTGCTTTAAAGTGCAGCTTCCTAAATTCAAACAGATTGCCATTTATCATAGAGATGCATTGATCCTTGTTCCTTCAATAATCCAATTAGAAATGTCAGTCTTGAGTTTGCCATTGATTGCTTAGTCTGTGCACTGTTCATTCTGAAATGAATACAGCATTCCTTTTATGCAATGCTCCTAGACTCTAACACCATAGTATACTGTGTCTATTAATGTTTTAGTTAGTGTGAAAAGTTTTAATGTTTACATTCCAAGGAAACTTAAAGTTAAACCTGAAATAAATACTCTATTCTCTTGAGGCATTGCCAAGCTAAGCTCAAAGGAAGGAGTCTATTTATCTTTCAGTTCAGTGAGAAAGTTTTCTTTACTGTTACTATTCCAAGGAAATTAATACTTAATATTCCCCTCCTCGACTGCTTGTCTAGCAAGACCCAATGTAGATTTGATCCAAGGTATCGGTTGCAAGTGGAAGCCTTTCCAAATTGTTTCATCTTCTAGGATATTAGTGTATTTGGGTTGTTGAACTACGATATGTGAGCCTGATTATTTCATTACATATGCATGACTAGCTGCAATGAAAGACCTTTCTTTGGGACTGTGTATTGAGTTGCTATAGTATTCCCTGTTATGTTGCCATGGACCAGTGTCTGACTGTTTTGAGGTTTTAGTATCGACACATAGTAAATAAGTTATACATGGAAAGCAATAATTGATAATCAGGGACATTTTCTACTTGGAATGTTATGAATAGGCAAGGACAAATGCAGCAGTTTCTTAACGGCATGGTTATATTTCATCCCAAAATAGATTTCGTCGATCATGTTTATTAAAGTATGTATAATGAATGTATGAATAATATTTCATTATCTTTCATGATCGATCTTGGCACGAATTTAATCCTCAAATTTGGACTGCGGTTAAATATTGGAGTCATTTTGACTGCGGTTACATATAGGAGTCAGAGACGTAGTAAAAATGGAGAAAATGTATTTGACCTGCTTAAATCCACTGAGAAACAATGCAGAGAAGTCCTTTTGTGGGGCTAATAAAAATATATACAACCAGAAGTAATTAGTTTGGACAGGGAGGCTTCCTGAATAATTAAGTATCAATAGCATATTTTTAAGTGACACTCATGATGATGACAAACATTTTTAAAACTTTTCATGGCCTAATGTCGGAGAAACTAGGTAGCAGTACTACTTCTGTGGCTGGCTTATGGGAAATTGTGATGCTCCACTGATTGATGGCCCTGACTGAGTCGATGAGAGGAGGTCAGAATCAATGATGCTTACATGCTCCTGGCCAGAATAGCCTCAGTATCAGGTTTACCTGCTGCACTGACATAGTTTCTAGATGCTGAGTGAAGCTGCAGATGCTGGGCAATCATCTTTTGTGAGCAACTATCAACACTCCACTGTTGTGGTTTAATGGTTCATTTATTTCTTCAGTTGTGGACATTGACCTTGTTACTTTGAAATCTTAATCTTCCCAATGACTTGACAGTCAGGTATTAATAAGAGAAGTCCTTGAGGAGTGTAGTATCTTATACCCCCTAGATTTTAGGTGAACCTCATGACTTGCATTCTTAATTTTGAACACTTTTCGAGATGGGAAACTGATTGCACTGTTGTACCCCAATGTCATTGAAATCAGAATCTTTACTCTGATAAGAAACATAAAGATCTGACAAACCATCCACAGGGTAGACAAACCGACTCTTCCATGAAATATGGTTTTCACTCTTACATTTCCTTTCTAACTCACTCACTCACTCACTCACTCACTCACTCACTCACTCACTCACTCACTCACTCACTCACTGAGGCCAAGTTGCTTGAAAATCATAACTTTATTATTAATTTTGTAACCATAAATTAAATGTTAATGTTTTCTTTACCTTTCCCAGAACCTGTTATATTTTCTGGTGATTCACCCCAGTTGTATTTTGTTTACCAGTGAACCTGCCTCACAGTGTTTTTATGAAGATCTGAATGATAATATATGGGAGGAACGATGGTTCATATTTTCCAGGCGACACAATACCGGTGTGATTCATATCTGCGAAAAGAAACATGGCCCCAACATTACCGTCCTTTTGAATGGCATTGTTTGTGTTGTCACACAGAAAAAGAAAATTTGTGTTGCCAGTCTGTGATGCTTGCTCTCACCGTGGCCATCTTATTGAGAAATGCTAGTATGTGTTTAAGAGATTAAAGTCCTTGTTAGAAGTGGATCAGAAAGAATATTTTCATTCACATGTGAGAACTTGTTACAAAGTGGAATACTGACACAACGAAAAAAATAAAAAGATTATGGTAATCTTAATAATATTTGGTATGTTTGGTGCCTATCCTATCCTTTATATGCTTATTGATATTGTTAAATACAGTAAAATCTGCCATTTTACAATGTATTTTAGCTGAAATTTAATAATAAGACATAATTATAAAGTTAAGGAAGCTTACAGTATTAAGTTGGTTTGTTTATTGACTGACATAATTTGGTATATGCAGAACACATATGTGTGTAAAACTTTTAATTTTGCAATCTGTTTCATGACAAGCTGTAACCAGGAACAAAATTTCAAAATGAAACTCTTAAACATGGCAAGAATAAAAACTGAAAATAGTGCTGTCCTGAGAAGACCAATGGCGTTGGGGTATTAGTGATGTAGGAAGGAATTTAGGAGATTCCGCCCGCCCTTCCCAGTGTCCTGTTTCACCGCTTACACGAACAAGCTGTACCAGTGAGTCAGTCAGTGATCCCAGTCTTCTCTCTGCAACCAGCTTCGTCTCTTGATGTAACACTGTCAACACAGTTACCTGGAAAACTGTGGACCATCACCACACCCTGACCTTTGGGGCTCTTAAATCAAGGTTGAGGCAAATGCTGCAAAATCGGATTATTTTGCAGCACGGTGCATTCTAGATGTTTATTGTGTTGATTTGTTTGTTGTGTCACTGTAATTATTAAGAAGGAAGTGTTGTCTAAGCCTACCAGGGAGGTGCTTCATCAACATTGGCTGAACCTACCCTCAGTGTGATCCGTGTGAACATCTTTCTCATTGCTGTCTCATTGTGTGTAGGTCTCAAGGTCTGTGTTGAGTTTGCTTGGGCAACATTCATGTCTGCACCGCTTTTTGGCTGTATTGACTCACAAGCTCCCTTCACTCATGTGTGATGTAAGGACATGCTTTACCAGGAGCCAACCTGTCCATGATCAGATGCATTGGAGTGTCACCCCTGGAAACATCTTCCTGAGAAAATGCAGAATTTTATTTCCAAACAAACCCTAAGCTACCAGCTTATTCTTTATGGAAGGATTCAAAGGTTGTGTTATATTTTAATTCATGAAAAGACAAGTTATCTCCTGAATGCATAACACCCGTCAGAATGGCTTCAAGGAAAGTTTGCAAAGTGCACTAATTAACTTCACTCATGATCGTGCAGGGCAGACACAAGACAAGACGCTGACATGTCTGTGAGAAAGATGAAAGATTGAGTCACAGTATACATTACAGAGTCACAGTCATCGCCATCAGCTGCAGTTACCTGGCCATGATTCAGGCCTGAAGCAAACATGCTGTCCCCCCGATGGACCCAACTTTCTAGGCAATCAATTCAGCAAATGTGCAGGTGCCATCCATATTTGTGTTCACATTCCTCAATGATTCTGCCAGGCAAATGATAAATTTCAGAAATAACCCTGGAGCTTGCCTCAAGTTCCTCCATAATCTCAAGTGATGATTCAGCAAACAATAGCCCAGCATTGTTAAGGCTTGATGATCATCCTTCATGCATATTTCTCTATCTTGAGGACTTGTCAGCAGTTGGAGCCGCGTTTTTATGAATTAATTTCAACAAAATCAGATTGTCTACTGTTCCCGTTGATCATGTCGCTGACGGTGAAAGGAGATAGATCGTCAACTGTGTCAAGGCAGATCGTTTGATGATGTAGCATAAAGCTTGACTGCAGATTGACTGATTGAATGGCAGATATCTGAAATACCTCATGTGACTGATGAAGGAGGACAAATGTTTGAAATTACTTACCAGAGTTAAGATGTTGACATAGTTTGGTGAGAGTTGTTGACAGTTTGCTGATTGATTGTAGCTCAGTGGGCAGTGTGTCTTAGTGTTTGAGTCGTTGTTGGTGTTATATGTTTACATACTGTTGTGACAGCTACTTAACACCACATGGAATGGTAACTTGGGAGGTGTTGGACCTCCATTGTCAAGGATGTTTGAAGTCTCAATTTGGATCCAATAAGCTTTGAAACACTTTGATGAAAAATTCAAATTTGACAGCCAAATTATCAATTATCATAATCTTCTAGGCTAGGGCATGATGAGCCAAATTATCATAATCCAAAATGTGATAGCTATTATATAAGATGATATCACATTGTATAAGCACTAGAAGATCAGGATAATTTACATCCACGTGATCATGTAGGCACACTATCAATATCATCAACGTCATCAACAAGTAGAATGTTTTACTTGAAGGATAACTTCAGCATGTTTAGCTATGTTGGCATCGGGTACCTTGCTTCAATCTACTCACTAACTACTCCCCAGTGTCCGTTTCTGCAGTTACTATTCTCAAAGCATATTGATATCAGTGTATCTCAGCTTATTCCATCAAAATAACTCCATCCTTCCTGACACGTGTTTCCAATCACAGATGACATTCTTGTGTCTCTTGCCTGATGCCCTCTTATCGCATTTCTGGAATTTAAAGTGTAGAATATCAGTAGATTTCGCAAGAACAGATACTTAGGATAAGGCAAAGCAGTTCATTTCAGATAACATTTGTCAGATTGACATTTGCTTTTATTTGGGCAGTGATCATGGCGACTGACATGATGATGAAAAAACATCTAGTGGACTATTTACAAACTGTGTGATTGTATTGACTTTTATTTCCATTTTGGTTCAGATGTTTTTAAGGTTGTTAGATGCTAATGTAGGTGAATGAGTTTTAGCCTGGCAGCAAATACCAAGTTGAAAATGCTGATAAAATTTTGGAATATGTCAGTGATTGGCAAATAAGATCATTGTTTTTGAGTTACGTTGATGCCACAGCTGTCATTAGCGTCAAAACATTCCCACACCAAAGGCGTTTAAGCTTTCTCTGGTGTCTGTTGTATTTGTTTTTCCTGGAAGTAAGTAGACTCCTGTCAATATGAGTGTGCTCTCCTTAACATTTACCTATAGATTGTAAATCAGCTCTGACATCCTGAGATTGGGATGTTCCTTCTTCAACAGCAGGTGTCACCAGGAATATTTTTCAGCGAAACTTTTGAAGAAAATATGGTCCATAGTTGTGTCTGCTGCTGTGGCCCATTGTGCTTGGTGTAAGATACCAGGCAATTAGCTTACCAGACAAGAAGGAATGCTCAAGTGCTGACGTCTTTGGATGTGTAAATTTTGGAAATATTTCGGACTTCACGATGAAATTAAAGCATACGATTGATGACCTTGATCTGTGGTACCAAGAGCACATGCGGACACGGAACCATGGCTCCCCCAGAACTGGGCGAGACACAGCCAATTATCGGCAGATCAACACAGGTGAGATTTCACACATGAAAGAATGTGTGGCTACAAATGACCAACTGTTAATCCATTAATACCCGTGGTAACAAAGTAGTTGAAACAATTATTGGATGAGAAACTAATGCTTATTTTCATGATTTCTGTCAATGTTTGAACCAGTTGAGTCTATACATGCTGTATGAGACATTCATCTTGTCTGTGGTAAAATAACATTTGTTCCAATAATATCATTTAAGTTTTCATCCCTGTTGACCTCATAACCACCAAATATTCACTCTTCATTTGAATCACATGCATCAACAGTTAATGTACAGAGGTGCCTTAAACAATTTGTTAAGAAAAATTCAATATGTTTATACTGAATAGAAATGTCTCGCACCTCACATTTTTTTAAATACATGGATGAAATTCTAATAAGCATTAAGCTAAAAAACCATATGCTTTGATGGAAATGTAATTTTTAAAATCTTGAATTTTATATAGACATAAACATGATATGTGTTTGATACTTGGGATATATCCTTGCAGGGATATGGAATGTTTACTCTGATAATAGTTTGGTTTCACCATGAAGGGAACACAATCTAATAATGCATCATTGAATTTGTTCAAGACCTGAGTGAAGTAACTATACTGTAATGATTCCTTTTACAATGTATTATGACACATTTGCCAGCTATCAGCAGAAGTCTTGTTGGAGATGCTCTTTCAAGGAAAATGAGCCCTGACCTTTTTGTAATTAACATGCACCGAATGTCCGAGAAGATAAGATGGCAACATGTGCTGGCCAACCTATTACTTTGTCAACATGATCAACAAAGTCAGTGAGAAAAGGCATGCAAGAAACTTTGACAGTAAGAGCAGTAATTTTCACAAGAGAAGTATGATGTGATCAAGAATTTGTGGTTGGGTCATGTTTCAGGCTACTCTGTCATCAAAGGAAGGGTAGTGATATATGGTGGTATCAGTAACACCAAACAACCGCTAGCTGACACACACAGTGGCTGTGTCAAAGCATAGGGAAGGAGAGCCGGCTATCAGAGCCAGACTTGTGACAGATCAGCCGGCTTACAGATCACCTAGCTCACTGGCCTGTTTGTCTGACACATGGAATCTCTTCTGAAGTCATTTTCATCCCTTGGTGATAGCAGAAAATAGACTACTCCAAAAAGACACAATTAGGCCTCAAAATATGTTGTTTTCACACAGGAACTTTTTTGCAGATCATTTTCTTTTCTTCCAATTATTTTTCAACAATGTTCTACTTTTACCTGTAAGCCAGGTAAACATTGGAGGTAAACACTATCATGATCATCATGTTAATGATCATAATTATCATGTTCTCTTTCCGTTTGGGGAGAAATGAATAACAGTACATGTACCAGTGGACATATTTCAGAGTTAGAATTAGCTAGTCCAAAACTCAAGAAGGACTGGTGCCATTATCTTGTGAAGTACCTCTTATACCTCTAGATAGATGCAACTCTGTATCAGATCATTTGTGTGGACAATTGAAAATTCAAATTAATTTCTAACACTGCAGTATTTTGTAAGCTTAACTTTGTTATGCAGAAGATATTGACATTTCATTGATATATTAAATGTTACAATCCTGTGAATAGGGCAATTAAGTAAACCAGTAACCCAAGGTTAGTATTATGGGAAGTTGAATAGGCAATTCCAAGACAAGGCTAGCTGGATCAACAGCTTGCTCTTTGGTGTTCTTTGTGAATTATGAATGGAAATCTGTGATTCTTGTATCCTTTGACAAACTAAGGTTTAAAATGCTACTTTGCCATCTGTGTTTCATAGTTAAGAAAAAATCATTAGTGTCTTAATACACTCGTCAACATAGAGCCAATGGTAATGTTTATATGTAACAAATCAGCAGAGCTCCCCACTGTGACTCTGCCTTCCCTGCACTCTGCTGTGGAAGGTTAATGGGCACAGTGTGATAGAGCTTGTTCTCATTTTATGCATGCACACCACACATGTCCATTGTAAACATACCTGCAAGTGGAGCATGTTCATGCACGTTTATACAAAATGTGTGCGTTGTGCTTTTGATATTAGGTTCTTGTGTACTGGAACCCGTGCATCATTATATGCTACTGCTAATATTTCTTGTGTCCTTATTCATGTAGGTGTCACAATGCAGTGCTCTAGAATGAACGGTGATGATTTATCCATTCCATTGACACGGTCATTATACTATGTAGGTTCACAGTCTTCTTCAACATGCTGCAAGGTCTCTTCTGTGTCTTTAATAGACTTGTACTAATGTACAATGATGTAGGATGTAGGATATTAGGACCAGTTATTTAAATATGGAGGTGGTCCAGCTGTCCGTCTGTCATAGCACGCTGAATGGACAAAATAAATATGGTGGGAAAACTTGGTGACAATCTTTATCATATTTATAACTGATGTTAATTATTTGTCAAGGAAATTGTGTGTGTGGACACAGTTACGGTATTCATATGGCATCAGTTACCTTGGTTGCATGTTTGTATGATGAATGTTGGTGCAGGTACGCCATGGATACATGATGGGGCCATGGAGGACAGTGTTTGTGGATCATGAGTACTGGTGGGTGCATGATGGTTCTGGAAACAGGCTGGGCATGGGTGCAGATGGTGATAATGGGTGCATGATGGTTCTGGATACAGGCTGGGCATGCATGCGTGATGGCAATAATGGGTGCATGATGGTTCTGGATACAGGCTGGGCATGGATGCAGATGGTGATAATGGGTGCATGATGGTTCTGGATACAGGCTGGGCATGCATGCGTGATGGCAATAATGGGTGCATGATGGTTCTGGATACAGGCTGGGCATAGATGCATATGTGATAATGGGTGCATGATGGTTCTGGATACAGGCTGGGCATAGATGCATATGTGATAATGGGTGCATGATGGTTCTGGATACAGGCTGGGCATAGATGCATATGTGATAATGGGTGCATGATGGTTCTGGATACAGGCTGGGCATAGATGCATATGTGATAATGGGTGCATGATGGTTCTGGAAACAGGCTGGGCATAGATGCATATGTGATAATGGGTGCATGATGGTTCTGGAAACAGGCTGGGCATGGGTGCATATGTGATAATGGGTGCATGATGGTTCTGGAAACAGGCTGGGCATGGTTGCATATGTGATAATGGGTGCATGATGGTTCTGGAAACAGGCTGGGCATGGGTGCATATGTGATAATGGGTGCATGATGGTTCTGGAAACAGGCTGGGCATGGGTGCATATGTGATAATGGGTGCATGATGGTTCTGGAAACAGGCTGGGCATGGGTGCGTGATGGTGTTAGTACATGAAGGAACATGAAGAGAATGGGTGCATGATGGGCTTGGGTGATTAGTGTAATTGCAGGAAGAGCATTTGTGTGGGTTCATGATTGGTGTGATTGCATGACGCGAAGAATGTAAAGGTATTGCCATGCTTTGGCATGTTCAAAGTCTAATTTAGAGAATTAACAAATTCAGTTGAAAAAGAAGTCAACCAGAAAATTCAAAGGTGTCTTTAATCGAAGTTGATTACCACTCAAGTACATTGACATCTGTATCTATTATGTGTGTTCTGTCATGCTTGTGCAGCATTGTTAAGCAGCTGTACCATGGCATCAGTCTGACGCACATGTGAAAGGTCATGATAAAACTTGTCCAGTGTGACACATGACACAATACACCAACGACTGTGTGATGTACAATGGAAGGAAGGACACAGTGAAACTTGTTGGTTCCTGGGTAGACTTGGTATACAATGAACAGGACATTTAGCCTAACAGAATAATACAATAAGCATTGTTAAGTGACCATACATTTCTGATAACACTTGTTCCTGGTTCCTTTGTATATAGTTGACTATGGACTATTACATGATAACTATGATATATTGTTATTTTGTTTGAAGTCAGAGATACTAAAAGTTGTTGAGTATTTGTTGCTGTCCTTAGTTGTTGTCCCATATATATATTCATCACATATATATATAAAATGGCCTCTTTCTAAACTGGCATTGGAAACTGTGGTGGCTCTGAGAGTGTCTGATCATCCAGAGTGAGTTAGCAAATTCAAAACGTCAATACACGTTGCGCAAAGGTGAAATATTGATGAAGATTTTATGAATAGATCACTAAAAACAGGTAAGCATGTCCTGCTCTACTGGTTGCAACTTTATGCTTGTCATAAGAGGTGACTAAGGGGATCGGGTGGTCAGACTCGCTGACTTGGTTGATACATGTCATCAATCCCAATAGCGTGGATTGATGCTCATGATATCACTCACTGGATTTTCTAGTCCAGACTCGATTATTTACAGACGGCTGTCATATAGCTGGAATATTGCTGAGTGTGCTGTTAAACAACAAACAAACAAAATATCTTCATAAGAAAGAAAATATATGTTTGTTGCCTAAGGCCACACCCAGCAAGACTCCTGCCATATGACAGGCCTGTAAACAATTAACAATCCTGTGATCAGGACCGTGAGCAATGATCCATGTTGTTGAGGAACATGTACCACGCTACTCTATCACCCAAGTCACCAAGCATGATCAGACGATCCTTTAATATTAGTGCCAGTGAGTAGGTGTAAAACCTTCATGTAAAGGTCCTATTATGGGATAGCATCATGCAGTGTTGACGGGCAACGTGTCATGTTTAGCAAAGTCCTCTGGATTCTACCATAAACATTCTGGAATGACTTGAACTGGCCTTTGATAGTGAACCTTGATTGAAAAGCTTAGGTTTAAGTAAAATATTATGTACATGCTCTTATGTGTCAATGCAACTAAAGGTGATGGTGTATTGCTCGACATGAAGGGGAGAAGAATGTTGTATTACGCCACTGTAATTAGCTGGGTCAGTCCAACCAGTGATTGATAGCACAAGCAATGATCAACACGGGGTGTGATGTCATGCTATCAGCTAGGTCACACACTGACCACCCAATCCTCATAGTAGTCTCTCACAACAAACAAGGGGAATGTGGGATGTAT